CGTTTAACAAAATGCCTTGGAGCCTTCTTGGCTTCACTTTTGCAATCCACTAGAGATGTGTGTTTTGCTGCTGTTGTGTGCCTTCAAGTAGTTTCGGACTTATGGTGACCCTAAGGCGGCCATCTAGCAGGGTTTGCTTGGCAGGATTTGTTCAGAGGGGATTTCCATGGCTGAACAGGGATCCAGACTCTGGTCATGGTCCAGTGCTCAGTCAATGACACCACACTGGCTCTGGTTTCCTCCATCATCATCCAAGAAGGTCTCTTCCAGATCACACTTCTCTGAAATGATCTGGAGGTCCTGATCCCCTATCACTGTCAGGATACTTGGGGATGCCCACCCCTTAGTCTTCCATGTGTGACTTTTAAAGGGACTTACATATATTTGTGGAGGTTTGTCAATACAAGTAACACGATTCATGTGTGTATCTCATTATATGTATTTTAATAGTGTTCTATCTCTTGGTTTGATCCATGCTGTGCCCCATTTCAAGCCGCAAAGAGAGGTGGGTGAGTTGTTGTTGTTATTGTTAGTAATAATAATAATAATATAATAATAATAATAATAATAATAATAAACAATGTGGTTTTTAAAATTAATATTAATTTAATTAATAAAATAATGTTAATGATAATAATAATAATAATAATAATAATAATAATAATAATAGAACATTGAGCAGGAGTGTTCCACTGAATATCAGGTTCATGGAGGAGATCAACTATTGTTCTCATAGGCTACTTTGAACTTTCCAAAGGCACCTATTTAGTCACTAGATGAATTCTGGATGAGGGATTAGATCAAGGATGGAAACAAGAACAAAGCCTTTTCTGCGATAGCACTTCAACCGTGGAATTAGTACCTTTCTAGAGCAGTTAGACTGGTCCCCTTTTCCCCACTGGTTTCTGTGCAGTTGGTAAAAATATTCTATCCTGCTCAAGTTTTTGTGGTATTTTTTAAAATTGATTATTCATTTTGTAGTCCTGAGTATATTACAGACCATACCATTTTGGGCAGAGCTTTTGTACAGCAGGTTAACCGCCAGCTGCAGTAAATCATGCCAACCAAAAGGTTGACAGTTCGAAGCTTGGGTCAGGGTGAGCTCCTGGCTTTTATCCCAGCTTCTGTCTACCTAGCAGTTTCAAAAACAGCAATGTGGGTAGATAAATAGGTACTGCATAGTGGGGAGGTATTTAAGGCACCAATAAGGAAATGCCAGAAAAATGTGGGTGATTCAATCAAGAAGGAAGCTTATGAACAAAGCTCTTCAGCAGGGAAAGTGGAGTGACAGCACCCCCTTGTGGCTGGAACCGAGTACAGCCTCCAAGATGCCGAAGATGGAAATGCCTATATATACCTCTATGTACAGTTGTTTGCCTTGTCATTGTATAAATGGCATTGAATGTTTGCCACATATGTGTTCTGTGATCCGCTCTGAGTCCCCTTCGGGATGAGATGGGCAGAATATAAATACTGTAAATAAATAAACAAATAAATGTTGAATTAGTTTGCTGATTTATTTTGCTGCACATCACCTTGGACACCCAGTGGGTGGGAGGGAAGCTTATAAACATCTTTGATTAAAAAATAAAGTTGAGCTGTGTGTGTGCTCTTGCATAATTATTAACATTTTTTAATTAACAACATTTACTGGCAACTAATAGCAGTTGCTGTGAGCTCTCCACTCTGATAGTGTTATGATAATATTGAAAGAAAGCCCAAGCCTCTCTTGGTTACACTCAGTTGTTCAAATGACTGGATGAACTACTCGCATTCATATGCAAGAATACTGACAATGAGATTTAGGCAAAAACATGTACTTAGTGGCCTTCTTCTTTCGAAATTTGTAAACAGAGACTGGGTGGCCATCTGTCAGGAGTGATTTGATTGTGTATTCCTGCATGGCAAGAAAATAGATTCCAAATTGTTTTCCTGAGGTTAAGAACTGTTTTACAGTGGAATATGCTACCTGGGAGGGCAGTGGTGTTTCCTTCTTCTTCTTTTCAGCAAAGGCTGAATGGCCATCTGCCAAGAGTGCTTTGATAGTGTGTTCCTGCCTGACAGAATGGAGTGAGACTGGATGGCCCTTGGGGTCTCTTCTTCCAATTGTGCTATGACAGGCATAGGCAAACTTAAGTGGCTGAGGGGGAAAAGGAAAGGGTCTGAGGCTGATAGGAATTGTGGGAGTTGAAGTCCAAAACACCTGGAGGGCCCAAGTTTGCCCAAGCCTGTTCCATGATTTGTCAACATTTGGTGGTCGCCTCCACCAAGGCAGCTGCCTCCTTTTCTTGGTGTTTATTCATTCTCTGTGTGTTTTCTTTCTAGTTAGATCTCGCTCTGGGAGAGTGGTGGAGTCGCCTTCTCTGGAGGTTTTTCCAACTGTCTGGATGGCCATTTGTCAGAAGTGCTTTGATGGTGTATTCCTGCCTGGCAGAACGGGCTGGTTGGGCTGGATGGCCCTTGGAATCTTTCCCAACTCTAAGCCCACAGCAGTGACACCATGAATGTGTGTTGTCGAAGGCGTTCATGGCTAGAATCACTGGGTGCTGTGAGTTTTCTGGGCTTTCTGGCCATATTCCAGAAGCATTCTCTCCTGTTGTTTCATCCACATCTATGGCAGGCAGCCTCAGAGGCTGTGAGGTCTGTTGGAAACTAAGCAAGGTAGATTTATATATCTGTGGAAGTTCCATGGTGGGAGAAAGAACTCTTGTGTGTTGGAGGCAAGTGTGAATGTTGCAATTAATCACCTTGAATAGCACTGCAAAGCCTTGCAGCTTCAAGGCCAGCTGATTCCTGCCTGGGGGATCCTTCGTTGGGATGTGTTAGCTGGCCCTGAATGATTCCTCTTTGGAATTCCCCTATTTTCCAAGTGTTGTTCTTTATTTACTGTTCTAATTTTAGATTTTTTTAATACTGGTAGACAGATTTTGTTCATTTTCATGATTTCCTCCTTTCTGTGGAAATTGTCCACATGCTTGTGGATTTCAATCCAATATATGGTGAGTATTAGATGCATCCACTGCTTCCTTGGAGTCCAGTGGTATCTCCTTCCTTCTCTGGAGGTTTTGCAACTGAGACTGGAAGGCTGCGTGGCCATCTATCGGGAGTGCTTCGATTGTGCTTTCCTCCCTGGCAAGGGGTTGGGCTGGATGGCCCTTCGGAATCCATGGCAGTGACACCATGAATTGCCTGCAGGAAAAGCCAGTGCCCTATGGTGGGTATAAGATGCATCCACTGCTTCCTTGGAGTCCAGTGGGATCTCCTTCCTTCTCTGGAGGTTTTGCAACCGAGACTGGAGGGCTGCGAGGCCATCTGCTGGGAGTGCTTTGATGGTGCCTTCCTTCCTGGCAAGGGGTTGGGGTTTGTAATTTAATGACGCTGTTAAAGTCTCCTCCGTAAACTACAAACCCCAGAATTCTGCAGGAGGCAGCAACCGGATTTCAAGTGGATTCATTCTCTTGTGTGATGGGGTCATATATATGGTGGGTATTAGATGCACACTGCTTCCTTCTGTGGAGGTTTTGCTGGGAGGGCTGCGTGGCCATCTGTTGGGAGTGCTTCGATGGTGCCTTCCTCCCTGGCAAAGGGTTGGGCTGGGTGGCCCTTGGGAGTCCATGGCAGTAACACCATGAATTGCCTGCAGGAAAAGTCAGTGCCTGAACCTGGAGTAATATATGTATGGTGGGCATTAGATGCATCCACTGTTTCCTTGGAGTCCAGTAGGATCTCCTTCTTTCTCTGGAGGTTTTGCAACAGAGACTAGCGGGCTGCGTGGCCATCTGTCGGGAGTGCTTCGATGGTGCCTGGCAAGGGGTTGGGCTGGATGGCCTTTAGGAGTCCATGGCAGTGACACCATGAATTGCCTGTAGGAAAAGTCAGTGCCCTTTGGTGGGCATTAGATGCATCCACTGTTTCCTTGGCGTCCAGTAGGATCTCGTTCCTTCTCTGGTGTTTCTGCCACAGAGACTGGAGGGCTGCGTGGCCATCTGTCGGGAGTGCTTCGATGGTGCCTTCCTCCCTGGCAAAGGGTTGGGCTGGGTGGCCCTTKGGAGTCCATGGTAGTGACACCATGATTTGCCTGCAGGAAAAGTCAGTGCCTGAACCTGGAGTAATATATGTATGGTGGGCATTAGATGCATCCACTGTTTCCTTGGAGTCCAGTAGGATCTCCTTCYTTCTCTGGAGGTTTTGCAACAGAGACTAGCGGGCTGCGTGGCCATCTGTCGGGAGTGCTTCGATGGTGCCTGGCAAGGGGTTGGGCTGGATGGCCTTTAGGAGTCCATGGCAGTGACACCATGAATTGCCTGTAGGAAAAGTCAGTGCCCTGTGGYGGGCATTAGATGCATYCACTGTTTCCTTGGCGTCCAATAGGATCTCGTTCCTTCTCTGGTGTTTCTGCCACAGAGACTGGAGGGCTGCGTGGCCATCTGTCGGGAGTGCTTCGATTGTGCCTGGCAAGGGATAGGGCTGGATAGCCCTTGGGAGTCCATGGCAGTGACACCATGAATTGCCTGCAGGAAAAGTCAGTGCCTGAACCTGGAGTAATATATGTATGGTGGGTATTAGATGCATCCTCTGCTTTCTTGGAGTCCAGTGGAATCTTCTTTTTCTGCAGGTTTTGCAACAGAGACTAGAGGGCTGCGTGGCCATCTGTCTGGAGTGCTTCGATGGTGCTTTCCTCCCTGGCAAGGGGTTGGGCGGGATGGCCCTTGGGAGTCCATGGCAGTGACACCATGAATTGCCTGCAGGAAAGGTCAGTGCCCTATGGTGGGTATTAGATGCATCCACTGCTTCCCTGGAGTCCAGTGGAATCTCCTTTTTCTGGAGGTTTTGCAACAGAGACTAGAGGGCTGCGTGGCCATCTGTCGGGAGTGGTTCAATGGTGCCTTCCTCCCTGGCAAGGGGTTGGGCTTGATGGCTTGCAGGGTCTCTCTCTCCCAAGCCTGTGGTTCTCTGCTTCGCACGCATACACACACATAGAGGACTCTCCCTTCTCCTGCTGCTGGCCCTTTAAGAGTGGTCCCTCTGACATCACGGCCAGCTGCAGGGAGCCGAACTTGCTGGTGGCGGCTCGGGCTCTGGCTTCCCTGCTGCTGGGCGATTGTGAATCCTCCCCGGTTCCCAACCTTAGCGGATCCCGTGATCGAGCGGGATCTGGGAGCCGCGGGGGCGCCCTTTGCCTGCCTCATCCTCCCCTCTTGCTTGTGTGTACGCTCGAATCTCCCCGCTGTGCGTGAGAGAGAGAAAGAGAGAGAGAGGGAACGCGAAAAAGAGCGAAAGGAAAGCAAGAAGTGGAGGGAGGAGAAGGAGGAGGAGGAGGAGGGCAAGAGCGAGAGGCTGCCCACCCGCTTGGGGTCTGACTGCGGCAGGAAGAGGACTCTCTCGGTAGCCGCCGAGAGAAGGGAGCCGCATCCCTTCTCTCTTTCTTTCTTTCTTTCTCTCTCTCTCTCTCTCCCTTTGTCCATCCCTCCATCATCATCCCCATCCCCACCCCCTTCCTTTCTTGTCTCCTGCAGCTCAGGGCATCTCTGCCTCCTCTCTTTCATATTTCTCCTACTGCGTTTGGAGAAAGGAWAGAAACATTCCTCCTGTTTGGGATCTTGCCCTTCTTTCTCCCTCTCCTGAAGCCTTCTCTTCCCCTTTCTCCCCATCCTTTTGTGCTTCCTTTGGGGGGCAGCTCCCTCCCCTTTTCCAGGCATCCCCCCAGTTTCTGTTTCCTCCCTCCATCTCTCTTTCCTTCCTCCTCTCCCTCCTCCTCCTCCTCCTCCTCCTCCGCGTCTGCTGCATCCTCTCCTCCCTTTGCTTCCCTCTTCTTCCCCCTCCTGCACTCGTCTTCCGCCCTCTCTGCTCCATTCTCTCCCTTTCCCTGCCTCTCTTCTTCCCCGTCTTCCTGCCTCTGTTTCTCTGCGGCTGTAGCATCCCTCCGTCCTGACTCCTGACGCGCTCTGTTATTCTCTCCCTTGCCTCTTCTGCTGCATCCCTCTGCTGGCTCCCTTTTTCATTCTGTCATTCCCCCCTCTCCATCCCTCCCTCCCTTCCTCTTTTTCCTCGCTTGCTGCATTCTTTCCGCTGGTGCCCGGTTCGATATTTGCCACCCCATCGCCCTCCCCGACCCGGCCTCAGCCTCTGCTGCATCCCTTCCCTCCCTTCCCTTCCCTCCCCCTTTCCCTCCAGAGAGAGAACACTGCACCCTTTCTCTCATCCCTACTCTTCTGGAGGGAACCAAACTTCTGGATGGGGCCTTCTGGGTGCTCTTTGGGGGTAGAGTAGCCCCTCCTTGGCCCTGAAAGAGAGTGGCCCCTGAGCCCGCCTGCCTTGCTCCAGCCCTCCCCTTGGAAGTCCCCTTGGAAGTCCCCCAAAAAGGAGCAGGAAAGCAATGCAGGTGCGGTGGAAGAGCAAGGAACTCCGAGCCCCAGTGGGATTCTAACTAACCGCAAGGTGAGAGGTCCACTTTCCCTCATCCCTGGCTCTCCTTTGACATTCTGGTTCTGAGAAGCCTTCTCTCTGGGTTGCTGTATGCCTAGGTTCCAGAGGCATTCTCTCCTGACGTTTCGCCCACATCTAGGACAGGCATCCTCAGAGGTTGTGAGGTCTATTGGACGCTACCAAGGGAGGTTTATGTATCTGTGGAATAATGTCCAGGGTGGGAAAAAGAACTCTTTTCTGTTGGAGAAAAGTGTGAATGTTGCAATTGTCCATTTTTCAGAGGCATTCTCTCCTGAGGTTTCACCCACATCTAGGGTAGGCATCCTCAGAGGTTGTGAGGTCTAGTAGACACTGGGATAGGGAGGTTTATGTATCTGTGGACCTGACGTTTCACCTGCATCTATGGCAGGAATCCTCAGAGGTTGAAGGGTCTGTTGGACACTAGGCAAGATAAGGTTTATGTATCTGTGGAATAATGTCCAGGGTGGGAGAAGGAACTCTTGTCTGTTAGAGACAAGTATGAATGTTGCAATTAGTCATGTTCTGGAGGCATTCTCTCCTGATGTTTCACCCACATCTAGGACAGGCATCCTCAGAGGTTGGAGGGTCTGTTGGACACAAGCAAGATAAGGTTTATGTATCTGTGGAATAATGTCCAGGGTGAGAGAAAGAACTCTTGGCTGTTGGAGGAAAGTGTAAATGTTGCAATTGGCTATGCTCCAGAGGCATTCTCTCCTGATGTTTCGCCCACATCTAGGACAGGCATCCTCAGAGGTTGGGGGGTCTGTTGGACACAAGCAAGATAAGGTTTATGTATCTGTGGAATAATGTCCAGGGTGGGAGAAAGAACTCTTGTCTGTTGGAGGAAAGTGTAAATGTTGCAATTGGCCGTGTTCCAGAGGCATTCTCTCCTGATGTTTCACCCACATCTATGGCAGACAGCCTCAGAGGTTGTGAGGTCTATTGGACGCTAGCAAGGGAGGATTATGTATCTGTGGAATAATGTCCAGGGTGGGAGAACGAACCCTTGTCTGTTAGAGGCAAGTATGAATGTTGCAATTAGCCATGTTCTGGAAGTTGTGAGGTCCGTTGGACACCAGGCAAGTGAGGTTTATATATCCATGGAATAATGTCCAGGATGGGAGAAAGAACTCTCTGTTGACAAGGTCCTGTCTCTTCTGTGTGGATCTCTCTCTCTGTCCATCTGCTTTGGAGACACAAAATGTTCCCAAACCTGCCAGGAGTTTGGAGAGGAGGCAAGCTTCAGAGTTACACAGAACTCTTCTTTTGGGCCAAACCTTGTCAGACAGAGTGTTTGCCTTTTCTAGTCCTGAAGAAGACAACCATACTAGTTATTTTACTGTTGTGGAGTGGAGGAGGGATCCATTTACCTGTAGTATGGGTTGCTGTGAGTTTTCCATGCTGTATGGCCATGTTCCAGAAGCATTATCTCCCGACATTTTGCCTGCATCTATGGCAGGCATCCTCAGAGGTTGTGAGGATGCCTGCCATAGATGCAGGTGAAACGTCGGGAGATAATGCTTCTGGAACATGGCCATATAGCCTGGAAAACTCGCAAGAGCCCAGTGATTCTGGCCATGAAAACCTCCAACAATATATCTGTGATATGTTTGCTTGAACAACTTTGGCCTGCGTGTGAGCTGGTGGCCTTTGGAGTGAAATTGTGTAGCACTTCTGTGTGTTGCAGAGGTGTGTTCAGTCTGCTGTTCTGTGACTGGTGCCTTAGATACATTCCTTTAGGTTCTCTTTCAAGGAGTCCGGGTTTTGCTGAGTGCAGAAATGTCATCTTGGCTTTGTGCTCTGATTCCTTTGCGAGAGCAAGCCAGTCATGTCTTTCCCCCTGCAAACTCTACTAGGGGACAATGAAGGCTTGCAGGATGTCATTTCTATTGACAGAATTGGCCCTCTGCCCCAAAAGTGTGGGGTAACTTTCTCTCCTAGGAGGACAAAGGCAGTGCATTGCTATGCGAGGCGCTGAATGACAGCTTCTATAAGTCTCTGTGTGTGCCTAAGATTCCTATTACAGTGAATAATAGTCACTAATGCATGTGTTAGTTCTTTGCAAATTTCTGGCTTTAGCATGGGTGTGTTTATATATGTGCATACACATGTATGTATGTGTGAGAGATTCAGAGCGGACTGTATGTCACTTCCTTCACAATATTGTTTTTTCTTGTGCTTTAATGCCTGTCAACACTTCCCTTATCTCGCGTAAAAAGTGTATAGAATGTGATGTCTTACCATACGAACAGATTTGTCGAATGCCGTTCCTGCGTCCTGTTTCAGTCAGCGTTGCACATTGTATGCATTGTGGTATGACAGTGTGTGCAGGAGGGGGCACCGCCGTAGCATGTCAGTCCCTTTAGCACCTTTCTCTGTGGACTTCATTAGTAAGTAGCAGAGCTGTGTGTTGTGATCTGAAAGAGCGCCCTGCGTATCCGAGTCATTTCTTCTAACGCTTTGGTCCCCTTCCTTTCGCCCATCTCTGGCATTGCGCTAGGATGTGATGATGGTTTTAATTGCCCGCAATACAGGATCCAGGATGGGAGAAGATGGTGCCTTTTTAACACCTTTCCCTGGGGGTGTTGCATTATTGCATTACAGTGTGGTGCATCTCTTTATGAGGTGTGTAATATGTGTGCGTATGTATGAGAAAGGGAGATGATGTTCTTTAGCTCTTTTAACATCGCTCTTCCAGAATTCTTTGTACCCAGAGTACATGTAACTCGCTCTATCTGTCTGGCTTCCTGTGGTTTTGTATGCCGTTTCTCTTCGCTCCTGCTTCGCTACCTTGCAATCTGCACATTGTGTGTGTACAATTCCATATGGTGCCATCAGTGCACATATTTTATGCTTTCCCTCCATTCCTAGCCCTCTTTTAGGTATACTCTCTGTGTGTATTTGTATATGTCTGTGTGCAAAAGAGAGAAGAGAGAGAGATTTATGGGCTCCCTTGAAGCAGCCTTTTCCAACCCAGTGCCCTCCAGAAGTGATGGGAGATGTACACTACCTTGCATCTGCACACTGTGTGTGTGTACGATTCCATATGGTGCCATCACTGGATATATTTTATGCTTTCTCTCCATTCCTAGCCCTTTTTTTGTGTATACTCTGTGTGTGTATTTGTGTATGTCTGATCTGAAAGAGAGAGATTCATGGGTTTCCGTGAAGCCACCTTTTCAAACCTAGTGCCCTCCAGAAGTGTTGGGAGTGATGGGAGATATACGCTACCTTGCATCTGCACATTGTGTGTACGATTCCATATGGTGCCATCAGTGGATATAGTTTATGCTTTCCCTCCATTCCTAGCCCTTTTGTTTATATTCTGTATGTGTATTTGTGTATGTCTGTGTCTGAAAGAGAGAGAGAGATTTATGGGTTTTCTTGAAGCCACCTTTTCCAACCTAGTGCCCTCCAGAAGTGTTGGGAGTGATGGGAGATGTAGTCTGACATGTCTAGTGGGCGCAAGGTTGGAGAAAAATATGTGTTAATATGTCCTGTTAGTTTCAGTGATGCCTAAAAACAAGGCTGTTGTTGCTGTGCTTAAGGACTTGCATGTGTATGCAGTGCATACACATCCTTGATGTTTTGGTGAATTCTGTCCTTTCCTATTTCTCATCCATTCTCAGTGGATTGTCCTCTGTGAGAGTACCTTTTGTGTATGTAAGTTAATTCCATAACACTACTGGATATTTGGATTCTCAACACAAGTGTATGCACGCATACATGTGTGTGCTCCATGCTGGCATGCAAGTATATTTTTGGAATGATTTTTTTGTTTATGTCCAGGCTGACATTATTATTGCTTGTTTTGCTCCCTTAAAAATCCTTATGTCCAGGAGCCATTTCCAAACTAGCCTCGCTTTGTGTTCTCTCCCTGCTTGTGCGCATCTATCTGGAGGACAGAAGGGAAGGTCTTAAGTGGGAAATAGATTTGCATATACAGTGGACACCTTCTCTCTCTCTCTCTCTCTCTCTCTCTCTCTCTCCCCCCCCCCCCCCCCCCCCCCCACCCCCACATCTGCTGCCACCTCGCTGCCACACAATAGCCTTTAATGTGATCCCAGATGGTGATGTTGCGGTGAGATTGTATTCCCCGCCACAAATGAATATGGTACAGTGATTGCTGGAGGGAGGGTGTGCAGTTACTGTGCAATTGGAACTGGGGGGGGGGCAGGCGGGAGGGGGGGAGAGACTTGGGCTAGATCTGGCCTGAGCATTGTGCTAATGGGTGAAAGTTAATTTAGCATATGGGTCCAATAGCTGCAGAAGGGTCATGTCCTAGGATGTATGTTGCATCTGTGCTATTTTTGTTACCTCCCTCTTTCTGTGTGAGTGAGACAGACAGAGAAAGAGAGCAACACTGATACAGTCACAACGCTGAGCTGTGGGGCTGAGCATGAAGAAACCATGGTGATGGTGGTAGTGGAATAGTAATTCTTCCATTCCCTTCAATGGTACACTATGTATATATATGTATATATCTTCAAGCCTCTTGTTTGTTTTAGGTAAGGAATACTTAGAGGTGGTTTTGTTAGTTCCTCGTCTGAAATATAGGATTCATTGGCGGTTTCCCATCCAGATACTAACCAGGGCTGACCCTGCTGAGCTTCCAAGACTTATAGTGATCGTCGAAGGCTTTCATGGCTGGAATCACTAGGTTCTTGTGGGTTTTTTCGGGCTATAGAGCCATGTTCTAGAGGCATTTCTCCTGACGTTTCGCCTGCATCTATGGCAAGCATCCTCAGAGGTTGAGAAGGTCCTTCTCAACCTCTGAGGATGCTTGCCATAGATGCAGGCGAAACGTCAGGAGAAATGCCTCTAGAACATGGCTCTATAGCCCGAAAAAACCCACAAGAACCTACTTATAGTGATCCTTTGAATTTCATAGGATTTTCTTAGACAAGGAATATTCAAAGATGGTTTTGCTAGTTCCTCTTCCGAAAAAGAGCCTACAGCACCTCCGATTTATTGGCACTTTCCCATCCAGA